CCTCCTCCTCCTCCTCCTCCTCCCTCCTCCTCCCTCCTCCTCCCTACCCTGCATCCTCCTCCTCCTCCTCCTCCTCCTCCTTCCCTCCCTCCCTCCCTCCCTCTCCTCCCTCCCCTCCCTCCCTCCCTCCCTCCCTCCCTCCCTCACTCCTCCCTCCCTCCCTCCTCCTCCTCCTCCTCCTCCCGCTGGGCTCCAGCACCAGCCCGGGAAATCCGCGCGGACCTCCGCAAGTTTCGCTGGTGCCATGCTGCCTTCCCCGATGCCTCTGGGGCGCCGGCGCCACAGCCCGCGGGGCCCGCGGCCCTGCCTCCAGAGGGGCCCAACGTACCCCCAGGACGACGTAAGGTGTCTCAGCAGCCACGATCCCGGCCGCGCTGGGCGCACAAGCGCAGCCGATGGCCCCCCCGAGGTGGGCCCTGGCGCAGACATCCGGCTGCTCCAATTTCTCCGATGCGTGGGGCCCGGAGGTCTGGACCACTTCCCCATGGTCCGATCTTTCATCCTCACTCGTTCTTGGACGGTCATGGGGCCCGGCGAGGGCCCCCCGAGGCCGAACACAGTGCAACATCGCCCGCTCCAACTTTTGGTGAGCGTCGGATCTCTGGGGAGGTCCCCCCTCCAAGGCACGTCTGTCCCGGACCCTCGGCGCCGTGACTTTTTCGCAACGTCGACCCCCAGAGGTCTGGACCCCTTCCCTGTGACCGGCTTTCCATCCTGAGTCATCTCTTGACGGCCCCGAGGCCTGGTGAGGGCCCCCGGAAGCCGAAATTAACTAAAAGAAAAACCCCGCGAGGGGGTTATTTTCACAGCGCGAGGGGGCCCAGGGTTCTGGGGTGCGTTTGGCCTCCCCCGGCTGCCGCTCCCAGGGCGAGCGTCGCCAGGGGCGCCCCCGCCGCGCCCGGTGCCCTCGCGGGCGGTCGTCGGGCGGCGGAGCTGCCGGCCACGCGGTGCGCCATGGCCCTGGCCCAGCAGCAGGATCTGGACATGGCCCTGGCTCCCAGACCTCCAGCCCCTCAGCATCGACGTCGTCGATTCGGCGGTGGACACACCTCCCCTTGGTGAACCCCCCCCAGAGTAAAAACGGCCTGTAGGACCGAAAACGAAGGCCTGGACCCGCAAAAGTGACGGCCGCGACGCCCTCTCGCGAACCGAACGCGGCCAATTCCTTAATCGACGTGCCAGGGAAGGTCTATCAACCTCCGATCAATACAGTGGAGGCCAAGCCCACAAGAAACCTTCCACAAGAAACCCACCCCCTGGGACACCAGGAAGTCCATGGATTTTTGGTGTGGGAAAACGTCACGCTTTCTCCATCGCACAACCATCGAAGCCCAAGAAACCGAGGGCACCCTGGAGGCAAGCAGGGCGTTTCTTGGCACGGGTCTCCACTGTATGGCGAAGGTTCTTCAAACAATAACGGTGCTGCTCGAATTTGAAGGAATGCCGCGTAATCAGGCGAAAACTCTCAACGCACACCACGTAAAACGCACACGCATACCCTCCAACAGAATCACGAGCTCCGCGTTGAGTTGTTCGAGACGTGCGTCTCGAGAAACTCGAGGCGGACTTGGGCCTCAATTTCCAGCCTCTGGGGGGCCCTCGCCGGGCCCCGGGGCTGTCGAACAACGACTGAAGATGAAGAGTCGGCCCTCTCCGCAAAATCGGGAAAAAGGGTCGGGATTTCCGACGACCGCGCACTGAAAAAACCCAAGACGTCGGAGGTCTGGGTTCGGCGGCGCGTCCAGGGGGGGAAGCAGAGGCGGCGGGCCCATTCGGAGGGGCCGGAAGGCCCCCCAGCGTCCCGCGGCTCTTCCTGAGCCAATGCCCCAGAGCCGCCGAGGGCTTCTGAGAGGAGGAGGAGGAGGAGGAGGAGGAGGAGGAGGAGGAGGAGAGGAGGAGGAGGAGGAGGAGGGGGAGGAGGAGAGGAGGAGGAGGAGGAGGAGGAGGAGGAGGAGGAGGAGGAGGAGGAGAAGGTGAGGAGGGAGAGGAGGAGGGAGGAGGAGGAGGAGGAGGAGAGGAGGGGGTGGAGGGGGAGGGGGATGAGGAGGGAGGACGAGGCGGAGGGGGAGGAGGAGGAGGGGGAGGAGGAGGAGGAAAAGGAGGAGGAGGAGGAGGAGGAGGAGGAGGAGGAGGAGGAGGAGGAGCGCAGCGCCTCTCGAGCGTCTCCCGCTGGCCGCGCAGGCGCGCGCCCGACGGACTACGCCGAGGCGCCCTCGCGCCACGATGGTGGAGAGGGCAAGCTTGAATATAAGTGTGGAGGAAGACCCACGCGCAGAGGAAGAAGGCCAGGGGTGCGTCGACGCAGGCCAACTCGCCGCCGACGAAGGAGGCGTCGCCACCGAAGAAGACGCCGTGCCGCCAGCCGACCACGGAACAGCAGCGAATCACGACATGGTCGATCAACGCGCCGCGTGGTTGCAAGAGGCGCCCCTGCGGGGGCGGCGCTGCAGGGGCACGTCGGGCACGAGGCGCCAGGCCCCTCTCGACACGCCTGATCGCATCTTGCTGGTTGGGCGAGAGCCCATCGCACCTCAATCCAGGCTTCCGCACTGTGCGGACATCACCCGCAGCACAGTGAGACCGGCAGCGCCTGCAACAGTAAATATTGTTGCCCCTGAACACGTCGTGCCCAAGCGCAGCGAAGGCGTCCCCAACCTCCTCTGCCAGGGCAGGCGGCAACAAGGCTGCGGGGGCCGAGGGCTGTGAGCACCCTTCGAGCGCCAAGGCCGCGCCCAGGGCCATGCCAGCCTTCTGGTCGCTGCAGAGAACCCAGCCCTCGCCGAAAGCGCGGGAGCACTCGGCGTTGAGAGCTCCGGCAACACGCGAAGGGCGACATACACGATGAGAGCCAGTTTGCAGCGACTCGAGGGAGGAGCCCGTTGTGGCCGTGACTCCGCATTGGGTACATCGGTACCGTCCGAGGCTGGCTCAGTAAGCAAGGACATGGTCCGTACTGCGTGCCACCACAATGGGCCTGGCTTGCTCGCAAGGTGGCCTGGGGACCTCCACGTCGCATCCCCATTGTTTGCGATCCACCACCTGCAGTGCCGCCCACGAAATGAACTGCAGGACCTTGCGGTGCTGTTTCAGCGCAGCTGTTTCCGCCTCAGCTACCGACCCAGCCAGTGCGTGAGAGGCCGCACCACAGCGCGCGAAGTAGTCTGCCCAGCCGCTGCCTAGCCAGTCACGTAGCTCCTGCGGCTCTGTGCCCATGAGCTCCTCCAAGGACGGAGGAGGAGGAGGAGGAGGAGGAGGGGGAGGAGGAGGAGGAGGAGGAGGAGGAGGAGGAGGAGGGGGAGGAGGAGGAGGGGAGGAGGACGGGAGGCAGGGCTCCCGAGAGGCCCCGCCGCTCTCGCTCCCCCTCTCGGCGCGCCGCCGACGGCTGGGCAGCGGCCAGCAGAGCCCACAATGGCTGCGGGGCCCGTCTTCCCAATCTCCAGGGCGGGCGGCGGTCCCGCGCTGCGGCAGGGCATCGGAGCTGCCTCGGCCACACCAACAACCCCAGAGCGCTCCGTGTGCCTTCTTCTCCTCCTCCGTCCACGCCTCTCTCTGTGTCTCCTCCTTTCCTCCGCTCCCTTCCTCTCTCTCTCCATCTCTCCCTCTCTCTCTCTCTTCCCCTTTCAGTTTCCATATTCCCATCCATCTCTCTCTTTCTCTCTTTGTTTGGTTTGTTCCCTCTCTCTCACTCTCTCTTGCTCTCGCTTTCTCTCTCTCTCTCTCTCTCTCTCTCTTTCTCCCTCTCTCTCACAATTCCTCTCCCACGCAAGGGTAGAGGACAAGGAGAAAGAGCGACCCTGAAACTCCTGTTGGGCTGCCCATGGCGCAATTGAGTTGGAGCAGTAAGCAAGGCACGGATACTTGACACTCAGATCCATGGGCCAAACTTTGAAGAGACGCTGGGGAAACAACGGTTCCTTCCCTGTCCAGCCAGACTCTCGAACATAATTGGCTGGCTTTTAGCCTTGACCCCGCGCTGAGGACTCGCACGTAAACCAGGACGTCAGGAAGCAAAAGCTTGAGGAACAACTACAGACAGGGATGGCGGCACGAAAACTGCAGCGTATTGAAAAACGTGCTGGATAACCGTGCCTCGAAACGGCCGCTGCATACAAGATTATGCAGCGACCGCCAGACAACGCTTGCATTGAACATGTCTTACGTGCTCCGTACTGGTTTGGCTTCCCGTTCACTTCCTACCTCCTGCTGGGGCACAATTGGCGCACATCGTAGCCCGAGACCACAACCGCTTCGGAGCGTTTCCGGAACCGCAGACCAAACGTATGAGTTGGTCGGTGTTGCTGAAGCTTACGTTTATTCCTGGCGTTACGCGGCGTTACGCCCGCCTCTTGGTTTCTATCCGATGAGGCCCTACCAGGGGGTGCTCCCTCTCCCCTGGCAAAGTCTCACTTTGAAGGGTGCCAGGTCTCACCCGACAAGGTCCCGCCCGACAGGGTTCCACCAGGCCATGCACGTTTCAATCCAAACAAATAAGACACGCCATGAGGTCCCACAACATAGAGCTCCATCTCACAAATTTAATCGTATGTAGTACGCCAATGAGCACACATCACGAGTTGCATTCAAGCTGTCGTATTATAGTTGCTATACGCCTTGGGTCACACCCAAAAAACATATTCCACATATTGCACTCGATGCGCTGCACAGTATAATGCATTCGCCCCAAAACACCCCACAAGCTGCACCCCATGACTTGCACCACCAACCTGACATGCCTGCATGATGCAACCTCAGAGCACGTACGTCAAGGTCACCGTGTGCCTGTCCACCGTAAAACTTCAAGACGCTGACTGCTATCGGTGGATCTGAATGGGGTGAGCACACATTGGGCTAGCACACATCCTGAGTATCATCAGCCCTGGTCCTTCACATTCCCCTCCTCCTCTTTCCTTTCCTGTCCCTGGATCGCCGAAGACAACTCTGGGCGATCCCCCCCCCACCAAAGCCTGAGTCACCACTGTGATGTTGATGTCGGTGTCTCTCTAGGTTCCGTTGTCCCACTGCGCCCACGCGAGCACGTCCACAGGAGAGTAGGCGTCCTTTCCAGCGCCAAAAGACGCCCCCCCTGCACTTGCTCCAAGAAGTCTTGCCGATCCTCCACTCTCCCATGTCCCCCCGAAACTACAAATATTGGGTGCCACAATGCTTGTACCAAGTCCTGGACACACGGACTTTCGGATCGCGGACTCCCTCGGATCGCAGCTAGAATACTCGAGCTCTCTCATATTGTTGTGGGTATCCATATCACCAGGGGCCCTGGCAACATAATTCGAGACCTGGGTAGCCCCGTGAACATGTCCGCGCGGGCCACACATCGCCGCACGTAAACAACAATCTTCTGGGGCCACGATGCTACGATTACATAAGGGGATGGGTGCGCACTAGGAAAAATTAGCCATCTCGAAATGCAAATCCCTGAGCTTCGATGTCTGGCGGGCGCGCGAGGCTTGCACTCTGGGGCTGGCGATTATGCGGGTCTCCTGCAGGATATCGGTTCCCCTACAGTCAAAACCTTTTGCTTGGCGTGTAGCGGCGGCGGCCCTGGCGACAAGCTATGCCTCGCGAGTGGATAGCGTATCGCTCTGCTCCGCCGGGCAAGGGGCTCGGAAAAGGCTCGGGGCGTTGAGGCCTGGAAACTGAAAATTGGATAGCGCGTCGCGCCGAAACGTGGGGGGGGCCAGAATCGGCGGAGCGACACGGTACCCGACAGCTTCCGACCGTAGTCGCTCGAAATGTACCGCCGCGCCGATATGCCTCACAACGCAGCCAGCAACGCAGTCCCTTTAGGGCCAGCCTGCCTTGGCGAGAGAGGCATCTCCACATGCAGAACGGTAGCTGGCAAACCCATCCCGCGACGAGGAAAGGCAGGAACGGACCAAACAGTGGAGAGAATCTGCTGCGCCTGCATTGCAGAAGGTGGCGGGCGGGGGCCTTTTTTGAGCTCAGCGCCCGCGCAGCCTAGGTGAAAAAAACACAGCAGCGGCGGCTGGGAAAGCACTGCTGGCAGTGAGGGAGAATTCACTGACCGAAAGAGTACCTCCAGCAGCCCTATGGGCTAGGAGGCACTGGCCACGCGACTGGCGACCGCCCGAAGCGAAGGGGATGGACCCGCTCGGGTGCGGCGTCGCGCAACAGGCCTCCGACCGCGGGGCGGGCGGACACGACCACCCCTGGTTTTCGGGAGCTGGGCGAGGGCCGGCAAATCCTTGGCTGCCAAAGCGGTCTTCCCGGAAGGGGCCCTGGGACACACAAACAAATGCACGCACACCTTGCAGGATTCCCTTATATGTTTACATTTGTCTGGGTTTCTGTCTGCCCCCCTCTCTTCCCATATTTGCCCAAATCTCCGGGAGATCGACGATTAATTGTGTCTGTGTGTTTTCCCCTCCTGATTCCCGGAAGAAGAAAACAATCCCCAACATAAGAACTCAGCGTGCTGCTTCGTTTAGTAGTAGTCTCGACGAACTCCGACAGGCAGTAGTAGTAGTAGTAGTAGTAGTAGTAGTAGTAGTAGTAGTAGTAGTAGTAGTAGTAGTAGTAGTAGTAGTAGTAGTAGTAGTAGTAGTAGTAGTAGTCGTAGTAGTAGTAGTAGGTAGTAGTAGTAGTAGTAGTAGTAGTAGTAGTAGTAGTAGTAGTAGTCTCGAGTAGTCGTAGTAGTAGTCGTAGTAATAGTAGTAGTAGTAGTAGTAGTAGTAGTAGTAGTAGTACTACTACTACTACTGTCTGCCAGCAAGCATAGACGTGCTACTAGTAGCAGTAGTAGTAGTAGTAGTAGTCGTCGTAGTAGTAATAGTAGTCTCGAGTAGTCGTAGTAGTAGTAGTAGTAAGTAGTATTAGTAGTAGGCAGTAGTAGTAATAGTAGTACTACTACTACTACTACTACTACTGCGTAGCAGCGTAGTAGTGGTAGTACTACTACTACTACTACTACTACTACTACTACTGCCTGCCAGCAGGCATAGACGTGCTACTAGTAGCAGTAGTAGTAGTAGTAGTAGTAGTAGTAGTTGTAGTGGTAGTAGTAGTAGTAGTAGTAGTAGTAGTCGTAGTAGTAGTAGTAGTAGTCGTAATCGAAGTGTTTCCTAATAACTCTTTAGTAGTAGTCGTCGTAGTGGTAGGTGTAACGGTAGCAGTCGTAATTGTTGCAGTAGTAGTAGTCATAGTCGCAGTCATAGTCGTAGTAGAACGTTTCGTGCTACTAGTAGCAATCGTGGTAGAACGAATAGTAGTAGTAATCGTAGCAGTCGTAGTAGGTAGTAGTAGTAGTAGTAGTAGTAGTAGTAGTAGTAGTAGTAGTAGTAGTAGTAGTCGTAGTAGTAGCAGTCGTAGTAAGTGGTAGTAGTAGTAGTTAAAGTATTAAAGTAGTGTAGTAGTAGTAAGTATAGTAGTAGTAATAGTAGTAGTAGTAGTAGTAGTCGTAGTGATAGTAGTAGTAGTAGTAGTCGTAGTAGTAGTAGTCGTAGTCGTAGTGGTAGTAGTAGTAGTAGTAGTAGTAGTAGCAGTAATAGTAGTAGTAGTAGTAGTAGCGGTAGTGGTAACAGTCGCAGGAATATTAGTAGCAGTAGTCGTCGTTCCAGTTGTAGTAATGGTGGTCGTAGTGGTAAGAATAAGAGTAGTAGTAGTAGTAACAGTAGTGGTGGTAGTAGTAGTAGTAGTAGTAGTAGTAGTAGTCGTAGTAGTACTAGTAGTAGTCGTAGTAGTAGTAGTAGTAGTAGTAGTAGTAGT